CACCTCCTTCTGGGAGAGGAGGCTGCTCACGGGACACCTCCTTCTGGGAGAGGAGGCTGCTCACGGGACACCTCCTGGAAGTGTAAAGAAGCTGGGCCAGTAGAGGGAGAAAGGAGACAGTGGATAGGAATGGCAGTCTTGGAAGGTCAAAGTTGAGAGAAAGCCTGAGCCTTTCTTCGGGGGTTCACCTGACTTGGCTTGACAGGAGCAGGGGTGCACTGGGAATGGGAGTAATGGCAAGGCCTTGCCTATTATGCTTGAATTGGGATTCACTTTGGGGCTGGGGTAGTTGGTTGAAGGATTTTCAGCTAGGAGGGATATGACTTGAATTAAATGTGAAAGGTCACTTCAACTAGAGATCAGTGGTAAGAGAGACAGGAATAACACCGAGGAGAGAAGTTGAATGAAATAAGCAGCCGTGGAAGGAAGAGGAAGCCAGGATTTCAGGGGCCATCAGAGGACAAGAGCTTTGAATTCAGTGTCTGGTTGATGACAGGAAACAAGACAGAGAAAGTCCTTTGCCTCAAAATCTGGTCTGTCTTGGTCTGGGAATGGGAATATGCATCGAAAGAACATGCTGGAAGGAAGGGGGATGTTGTTTTGGATTGCTGTTGCTCTCCCATGGAAACCACATTAAAAGATGACCCAAGGCAGCCATTTTCAATACCCTCGGTTAACAGGAAGCCTGGGACTTGCTGGCGCTTAAGTGTTGGGAAAGCCATGCAGAAAACACTGCTTCTCATTTGGTGGGGGTGCATTCGTGTTCCTACACACAGTATGGAGGAAGGGCGGGAACTGTGTTCAAGCACAGGGACTGTTGCCTGTGGGAGTGTCTCTTGAGCGACATGGGTCATTCTGGGTGACTGCAGGTTGGCAAAGGGTTAGGGAAGGCTCTGGCAGCTAACTTCTTGTTCTGAACTGTTCTTGGTCGTCGTGACTTGGGGCCCATGTTGAGGTCTGGGGCAAGGGTCAGGAGAATGGTCTGTTTGTAAGGCCTCATGTCTGAGGCTCCCAGAAAAGGGCCCGTTATTGTGGTCAGAGTGAGCTTTGGGTTGCAGTTGATACCATAAGGAAAGCTGCTTTAATTTGGAAGGAATTTAATTGCTTTTAATCTGGGATAGAGCAAAATAAAAGGTATGAGGATATCAAATATTTTTAGCACCTCATTGATGAATAGTATCTTGTATGAATTTAAAAAAGCCAAATTTGCACAGGTTTTTACATGATGACTCCACCTTGTGTCTTTATCCTAGCAATACTATGAGGAGGCCGCTTTCTTATTCCCCTTTGAAAGATATGGAAACTGAGACACAGAGGGATTAAGTGACCCACCTAAGAGTTATACAGCTGCCTATGGGCAATGTTAGGAGTAGAACACAGGCTCCTGACTCAACCTGTGCTTGGTGACTGGGCCCAGTGGCCTCTCTGTACTGCAGTGGGAGAAAGAGGACTCCACTTTGGCCTCTCACCTGCTGGATTTTGTCTTTGAAGTAGCCCTGGGCTTTGCAGGGGGAGAGTGCTTAGGATCCAACCCCCTTTGACCCTTGCTGTCTTTGTTAGAAGTGTTTGGGTCTCAGCTACTTCTCAGCTGCTCTGGTCTGTGGGTGCCAGGGAAGTGGAATGTCCATCTGAAGGTCATGGACCAGAGGAGTCTATGGCCCCAGGCTCTTTTGTGGGCATTCCATGCCGACTCTATTGCCACTAGGAGGACTTTGACTAGAGCAGAGGGCCTGTTGTTGCTAGTGACCTTACGGTGAAGATACTGCAGCTAAAGATGAGATGCAGAAGTTCCAGACTGAGTTTTCTAGAAGGAGGAGCCCTGCTCTCTCAGTTGTCCTGCCACCTTCCATGCCTGTTGACCAAACTTCCAAATCTTGGCTCAGCTACTCTGAAAAGCCTCATGGTCACCACTCCACAGCACACGTTGCCTACATCCCTGGTGAATCTGAGACATTTTTAATGGCTTCTTTTCATACTTGGGAACTGATCACCTGATGAAGAATCCCCATGACCGCATCCTTAGAGCACTCAGGGGACCACAGACACCACAGAGAACCCAGCTGAGCCCCTCAACACCTGCAGGAGAGCTCTCTGCCACACAGAGCGTAGCCCCAGTTCTTCCGAAAGGACTTGGAGGTTCCTGTTCGTGGCTTAAGGGGAGTCTGGGATGCATTTCCACCAAATGACGCAGAAGCACTAGGCACTTCCTGTGGCCCAGGTTGTTAAGGAAGATGCAGATAAACAAAGGATAATGATTGGGGTGGAATGCAGCTGTGCCATGGCAAAGCACTTCAACACCTGCGCTCTTAACTTAACCCTTTAACAGCTGCATGGCATTTATATCAGCCCGAGGAGGAAATTCCAGCCCAGAGATGAGAAACGACTCACGTAAATTCTTACCGTAGCCCTGGCATATGTGAGAAAGTACGTCTTGCCTTCAACAGTCCCTGAATACAGGGTTGCAGGCCAGATCCTGGATACTCAACCTCAGCTATGATCTTACAGCCGCATAATATGCCCTGAAAGTAGCCAGAACATTCTCAGGATGATGAAGCCTTCTTAGGGCATGTTCCGTGTCCCCCCATCAGCACCCACAGGACTGTGCGAGCATTTGCTCGCTTGTGTGGGAGGCAAATCAAATACTCCTCAGTCGCTTCTGAATCTATCTGCTTTAAGGAGCTCTCTCTTTAGTTCTCTCACGATTTCCTTCTCAGATCAAAACTAAGACTCTCGCCCACATCTCCTGGTCCATGAGGAAGTGGGCACTTACTCATAGACTGAGGGTTTCCTCCAGTGTCCTGGATAAATACCTCCAGCCATCTCTCCCAAGTCTCCAAGGTTTTCTAAGTTTCACTTAACTGTCTTTCACTCCAGACTCACCGAAGTCCGCTTATTCCGTTTCTCGTCCTCCCATCTCAGCCTCTAGGATCCTCTTTGCCTCTTTGTTTTTCTCAGATCACTAGGGCACTGGGTGCTTTCCAGTTCTTGTCTCTTTGTCACCTATGATCCTATCTGACTCTTGCCAGTGGGATGTCTACGCATCAGAGTAGCCTCAGCTAATGCAGGAGCCTCTTGAGCTGGAGGAGCACTCACTGGCAATCAGAGCAGCAACACTGCTATTGAAAATCAACACGTAAAAAGCCATTATGGGCTGGGCAGTGGTGGTGCACATCTTTAATCCCAGGACTCAGGAGGCAGAGACAGGCAGATCTCAGAGTTGAGGCCAGCCTGGTCTACAGAGTAAGTTCCAGGATAGACAGGGTTACACAGAGAAACCCTGTCTCAGAGAATCAAAAAACCAAACCAATCCAAATCAAACCAAACCCAAACTCCCAAAACAAACAAAACAAAACCCCACTATGTGACACCAGTTACTAGACAGGTTAGTTGCTTCCTCCCCTGCCTTGTTCGACTGTTTTGCGAACTTCTGTCAAACCAGCCTGACTCTCTGAAGCTATTGAAACACTCAGATATTTTGAGCCTTTCATTCGTAAGACAGTTTACCTCTGTAAGGTAAATTACCTGTCCTTACCTGCATCCTCGGCTAGAGTGAGAGCTTTCTGTGACTGTCTAAAGGACACAGCTCCCAAGGTGTTGGTCCCCTTTCCTACTGTGAGCA